GCTAGCCATATTATGTTTAATAAACCTTGAGATTTGTAGTGGGGATTTATTTTTCTATGTTGTAGGACATTGATATACACAAATCACTTTGGAGGGTCAACTCACCAATATTGACTACTCAAATTAAAGGAACGGAACTCAACACTTCATAAATCCCCTAGATGAAACCTAGTCAATCAATAAAAACCTTAGGTCCAGCCCCTAAGGATTTCTAAAAATGTTAACGTTTAATTTTTAATATAACAAAAGGGAAAGATTATTTAACACATGACTCAAAATAAATTGTATTAATTGTATTAAAATTAAATTAAATTTAAGTGGAATTAAAATTAAATAAACTTCACATTACTTTTATAGAGTAGGTCCTGAAATGAAATCAAAAGTGAAATTCAGCTCTCTCTGGGTATCCATTGTATATATTTTGCATTCACAAAGTGCAAAATTGGATTAAATATGAATTTCTTCTAAAATTATTACCTTTAAGATCCACAGAAGAACAAATTGTGTGTTTTTGTATATGCATTAGAAATCTACAGCAAAATTAAAAAGTTTGTTTTGCATATGATCAATATTGAATTGCAAGAAAAAATATTTCCCTTGTAGTTTGAAACACAAAGAAAAATACTTTGCCCTCTTTAAGTGATTCTCTTAATTATACTTTAATTGGGTGGTGGAAAATCCAACAATGCTACAAATATTGAGTTAATCTCCCTTTGTATTTTCATCTCTCTCTATTATCATAATTTGATTATATTAGTGGAATTCTTTGTGATTACATTCTCTAGTGGAAAAAAAAAGTTTGAACACAATACATAAAATTACAGACTTAAAGATTGCCTATTTGTACTTTTTCAAAGAAATATTATGTAATTTAAAATTTTACTTTGAAGTAAAATTTGATAATACTTAAGCTCAAATGATATATTTATGAAAGGGTGATGCATACGCATTTTTAACCTTTTTGCCTTTCTCTCCCACTTCCCCCAAGAATGCAAGCAAATGTTTGTTTGTTTATTGTTGGAGAAATGGAAGTTGATGTATATACGCATCTCTTATAACACAATGAATTGAGAAAAATAGTGTACTTGCAGTTTTGATTTTTAATAGAGTTTGAACTATTGTATTAAATTTTGCTACTGAGATCAGCATTTTCAAGAGAGCAAGCCTCTTGCTGTATAATTTGAAGATGTTTGATATAGCTGGCATTTATGATATATAGTTCATTTATATTTAATGTGCATTTTACCCATAATATAAAATCCCTTTGTAAAACAATTCGAAGTTTTGCATTCAACAGATTTCTAAGTAAAATAAATTCTACAACTGATCTTACATTCATCCCAGTAGAAATCTGTTGAATCCTTTTCTTCTCTAGAAAATCTCCCAGTATGTTCCAGTAAGTCCCCTCTATAGATCTGAATGTCCACTGGAGTTGCTCAGGAAAGATAAGAGTATTACTGTTCACTTTATCCACCGGCATTGGATTCAATGAATTCAGTATCAACCAACCAAGAATTAAGAGTAATATTAACTGATCAAAAATATCAAAATTCGGAATATGATACCTAAGAACATGATAGGCATATTCATCTGACCTCTTAACAACTTCTAAACCAAGATTTTCCAAAGTGGTCATTATGATGACCCAGGGAAGATGGAACTATTAATTATTCTTGTTATGTGATTGGATGCAATCAGGCAGATGTTTAGATTGGATGTGGCATTTTTATCGACCTAACAAATATTTTCCAATTATTATTAATAGTGATTAGTAATAATTGGAACATAGGTATTAGTTAAAGTGGTATTTATTACATTATTTTCATACACTAAATGTTTGAGAGTTAATATTCAAACTGAAGCTTTATAAGGGGATTGATGAGCTACTCTAAATTAACAGATACTGCATCATCATAAATTTTGCGATACTACAGTCTTCCCCTACAGTCCCAGTATATCTGAAGAAAGTTAAGTCAATGATTCATCCATGAAGTACTGCTTTTCATTTGTGCTGATACTGATACTGGACAACTCAAAAACTGAAAAAAAGAGAAAACATTATATATTTCAACTGTATTGAATACTTCTCGATATTCATATCTCCTGTTGGTCTTATTACATTTAATATTATATTGATCAATCATTTTATCAAAATTAAACATTTCAAGCAAATAAGATTGGAATGTTTACTATAGCATAGAAACACTTCCCCCATAATCAGATACTTAAAAACCTTTTATCATTTTAGTAGCCGAAGAAACAAATACAACTATAATCTATCATTTTTTGTCTCTTCCTTAGGAAAGGAAGCAGGTATAGATTTGAGGAGAAGATTCCATTATGCGTTTCATTGAATTGCAGTTCCCTAATCATTATTAATTAGCTTTCCATGAAGCTTATTGTTTAACTCTCCTTATTCACTTATGTTTTTATTGTCCTTTTTTTTTACTTAAAGTGGTAAGTTTTGATTATAAGCTCCTTGCAGCAAAGACTTGTGTTATTTTTAATGTTATTTATAAAATATGATGTGCAGGTTTCAGTCTTCAGGAGTATTATACAATGTATAATAAACATTAATACAAAACCAAAATTAAAGAAAAGCAAATATTTATTTATTTAGTAATTCTCAATTCTAGCTGACATATAATAAATGAATACAACACAGAAACAGAAAAATAATAGCACAGCATTAAGAATCCATATCAAGAAAACAACACAATAATTACCAATAAATCAGTTCAAATCAGAATCACAAGTGAAGATTCAAATCACTCTATTGAATGAGCCAAGAGTTCAAGGCTTTTCTTAAAGGGTCAAGCTATGCAAAGTTTTATGAAGAATACTGCTCTTTCAAAATGCTACAAAATCAACCAGGTCACCAAATTGACGGCAAATTTACATTTCCATGATCCTATGAATAATGACAGTTGTTTAAAATATTTATTATGTTTGGTTATATTTCCGAGACCAAGCAATTAACAGAGATAACATTGTGATTACCGCTTCACAATATTGTAAATTCTAATTTTATTCTAAATGTTTCTTTTCCTTTCATTTTTTCCTCCCAAGTTCTCAATTCAAGTCACTTATCCATCTCAATTCAACTCACACCTATGTGCATTGCATAAAGGAAGAAAACCCAACCCTGCCCCAATTACATCACTGGCAGGTATAAACTTGCTCTTCAGAGTTGATCAAATGAAGCTTCTTGATTTTAAGATTGAGCAATTACCTATTCAGAGAGGTGTTTTTCTTTATCAAGATGGTTTTATTTACTCAAGTCATGAAATATTTCAATCACTATTTAAATATTTAAATTGTTTAGTTCACGTAGCATATTTTCTAAGCTACAACTTTTTTCCCTCACTCAGAAAAGAGGCAATGAAAAGGGAAAAAAGGGAAAAACTCATTTTTTCTCCATTAGAAAACTTCCAAAATAAAGATGATTTGCCTGGAACCCAAACTGGTTGCTTGTTCTCAAAACTTCATAAAAGTGAAAGAAATTAAAAAGCAGACAGAAAACCATCGAGAGACCAACATATAAATTACAGGAATCCTTTCAACTACTTCCTTGATACTTTAACTTCTTTAACAACAGCAGCAACCAAAAAAAAAAAGCTTTCTTCACAGACTTAACTGTAGGCTAGGTGAAGGGAGAAGAAAGTATTGCCTGAAAACACATCAAGCCAAATTCAGCAGAAGATAAAATGGCTCTCAACCAAGTTAATCTGAAAAATTATTTTGGCTGGGAACAACACATTTTCTTTTTTCCTTCCCTTCCCTTCCCTTCCCTTCCCAGACCATGATATAACTATTTATTTCACTACATTACATTTAACTACATTTTAGAAAAATAAAAAGCACCTAATAGTGAAATGTTTATTTTAAAAATCAATCAAAAAACACATTTTGCAGTTATAATTTCAAGACTGTACAGAATTCTCTTCTTGGGGTCAGACATTCCTATGAATCACTGGTGGTTTTCTCCAAGTTACAGGAAGAGCACGATAATTTTTCAGCAATACTTCTGTACAGAGTATGTACACTCTTGTGAAACTCACACATCAGCCTTTAACAGGGGTCATATAAACAAAGGGTCAGTCTCTTCTGCCAAGTTCTAATACCTGTTGAATTTTCAAGGACTTGAGATTTACTCTTTTAAAAAGGAGGAGTGCCTTGAAGCTTTTGGTTATATCTTCAGAATAATAACCAGGAGAATCTTGCATCTAAACTTTAAGAGACTACTTGCAGCAATATAATTACAAAAATTATAATCCAATGAAGTATAAAAAATATCTATGAAGAAGCCTAGAACAAATTTTGAGTTTAGGACACATGACACACATATACCTCACCATTCAATTAAATATGAGTCTTTAAAATTAAAAAAAAAAAAAGCTGTTCTTGCTTCCTAATAATTTTTTGTGATTGTGCTAGCCAAAAAACTGAAAACAATGGGAAGACTGACTTTGTCAAGATTGACTTTGTGCTTCTTCTGTTGACTTGTCACCTTCATTAGAGTGTTAAGCTCACCTTCCAAAGCCTGAAGTCACTAAAATGGGAAGGGGTAAGAGGAGTATTTGTTCTATTTGGGCCTCTTCCATCATTCAGCATTTAATAAGGATCAAGAGTTATTCCTGAAGCTTACATGTTTGATAACCAGGATCAGATACAGCAACGAAGCACTAAATGCACAAAAGAAAATCTCAAAATATCCTCTGAAGAAAAGATAATATTATATTAATTCACCAGTTACAGTGTGACCAGAGTAACTTTATAGTGGTAAAGTCAATGAGTCCCTTTAATCACGTATGAAATACAGAGATGGTAGGAAATTATACTCGCCTGAACATAACCAAACATGTGCAAAGTGTGCTCCTGAATTACAGCTCTTTCGCCATACATCCAGAAAACAGATTCCAGGCTTCAGCCCAGTCCCTTTCTTGGCCAAATTCACATGTGCAAAGTGGGTGACTTGCTTCTTCTCTCCTCAGACTTACCTTTCTTTTCGTCTATAGCGGAGCTAAAGGTGCTCAAAAGCAAAGCGAAGAGGACAGCAGCGGTAGGGACCCGTCTCGCCCCTAAAGATTCCTCGCCAGTAGCTGAAACTCCCGGAGATCGGTGATTCCCGTGCCCCATCCTGGTTGTATGCGGCAACAATCCGGAGCGAGCGCGCTCGGCAAAGCTAGACTGTGGTCCGAGAGCGTGAGTCTACTAGCTGGGTTTTTTCTCGGTCGCTTCCTCGCTAACTCTGCTCAGCAATACCTTTCTCTTTTTGCTTCCAGTCTCTCAACCTCTACCCATGCCGAAAGACTGAGGCAATTCCAAGATTGGGGAGGGGGGAGAAAGGGAGGAGGAGCGAAAGGAGGCTCTTTTTACAGTAGTTGCTGGCTGCGGCTGCCGCGCGCTCACTCGCTGACTGAGCAAAGGAGAGAACGATCCTCGGGAAGCTGGCCCCGCTCCGCGTTCGCGCAAGGGGCAAAGAAGCTCGCGCCCTTTTGCAGGAGGGGCTAACAATACAGTAAACACCGTGCGAGGAACTCCCAGCCGAGCCGCACGCACGACACGAAGATATCCGCGTTCCATCAATCCTCCCCCTCTTCTTTGCTAAGCTTACAAACAAAACTTTTTCCTCCTAACGCACATCTCACACACTTCCTCTTGAGCAGTGGGACAAACCAATGAAAAATAAGAGGCGGGAACTATAAGAAAGAAAAAAGAACTGGGTGTGCGGGAAAGAGGCTCTATCTGCGTTGCCTTCAGGTGGTTTTGTACCTGTCCAGTGCCGGTGATGGGAAGGGCCAGAAATTCCTGTCCAGCTGGCTGAGCTGAGTAATACGCATGTGCGCTTTCCCGTGCACTTTTAGGGGGCCACCGCCCATGGTTTGGTTTATCTGCTGGTGCCACAGGGACGGCGCTACTGATTTACCTGCGACTGAAGCTTTCCCGCTGTTCCAAGAAATGAGATTAAATCTGTGCTGGCGTGGGGGGGGGGGGGGGGACCAACATGTCCTTACGCAATCTGTACCTTGGAGGAAAGCTGTAGCTAAGTGAAGTGAAGTCAGGAAACAAGTTTACTGTCCAGAGCAGCTTGCACAACTCCTTGGCCTTTCACTGGATTCCAGTGAACTTTTGAAGCCATTCCTTTGTATAAAAATAAAATCTTGTTAGATCTTAAAGACTTAGAGGTCTTTCAATTGCTTTGTTCTTGAACTAGCAGAAAATTACAGTGATGCAAATTTGTTTGGCAATCCCTATTTTACTACAGACAGAATGCCAGCAAATTGTACTGGTGTTATTAATGTATGCAGGCCATGCAAAGGACTGAGATTTGATGGATTACCCCTGAGATTTATTTTTCTCCCATTCTGCCAGTCTACTAGAACATTCAAAAAGAGCCTAAAATATTATTTGACATTCCAAGTAGTCTAGGACACCAGAGCATCTACAATTAAAAGCAGCCCTAACAAAAGCTGGCAGATATGACAAGGCTGTGTCACGAAGAGACAGAGAGAAAGCCCTCTCATGCTTCAGGAAGTCCCACCTTTACCACCATTGATATGTGATGTTGAGGCTAATTTAACACTCTGGATTGATTAAGAGAACTAACATGTTGAGGGGAGGACTATTTATCTTGAAAAGACCAGAGATTATCATGACTCCCAAGATAGAAGGGTCAGGAAGTTAATGCCCATTAACCAAAGGAAAAGTGTAGCTAACGAGATGGGTAATCAATAGAACTGATGACAAAGTGGATCAGATTTTATCTGTGTAATCACTTTTCTGACCCATTCTTGCATTCTTTTCAGATATCATTTCATTGGACTTGATTTGTAAAACAGATCAATTTTTTCAATCTTTGTATATTTGCAATGGATAAGCAACTTTTCTTCCAGTAGCTCTGCAGCTGCTGACCCTAGCTCCTCAACCAGCACTCCTGAGTTGTGTGACCCATTTATCACCAGGTTTCCATATAGTACAACACTAGTACAATCCTTATTGATCAAGGACCATGACTAATCTGGTAGGTAAATTACATCTCACCCATGCTATTATTATATGCCTGTTTCTGAATCTCATTACCAAAGTTTCAATACACACACAGAGAGAGATAAATACTGCTTTTCCAAACCCATTGTTTATTGAAGAAGGCTGAACTAGAGAAGCTAGGAACCCCTGTTTTTGTGTTATCTTACCATATTTTATATGGTATATTTATATTTATATATATAAATATAATATAAATATATTTATATTTCATAATGTTTTCACTATGTCCAAATATATTGTTTGCTCAGCGTTAAAATGGTTATTAATGACTAATAAAAATGGCAGCATCAGATTCATGATCCAGTTCTTGATTTGCTTGAAATCATATTTTAACACTTATCCAGTTCATCAATTGAGGAGGGTGTATATAGCATAGAATTTGCTACCTTTCATGCTTTTCATTTGGATATGAGAGTTGCCTGTGTACCTTTATCATACTCAGGAAACTTTTTATTAGGATATCCAGCAAGATTATTCTTTTTCTAGGCTTTTTTCACTGTGGATTGTTCTGACAGATTATCAGCAAACAGAAGTAAATAAGGATGGATTAGCGAACAAAATGTCTCCTATGCTGTTCACCACAATCTGCATTCAAAAGTATTTGTCTCTAGAGACAGGTTGTGTTTCAAAGATATTATGAACTAACTTGATACCTGTGCTTCACTCCAAAACTATGTGGTTGGGCTTAGTTTTGGGGGAGGAAAATAAGGGGTGGAGAATTCTGCCTCTGCCTACCAGCATCCATCGGTATTCATCTGGCTAGCATCCTGTCAGAAGGAGACAGCAAGGAGCCTGGGCATGGCTTAGCTTAACTGTTCTGTACTAAAGCTGCTTGGTGCTATAAAACTGAAACTGCAACTCCTCTCTTCTGCTTGTGTTTTGCATTTGGAATAGATTTCTTTTCAGGTGGGGAGGGGGAATAGAACTCCTTAGCATGAGCGCATGTTAATAATAAAATACGAAATATTAATGCTCTGATGGTCATTTCAAAAACCCCTTCCTTAGTCAGTACCTAGAAGCCCAGAGGAACATACTTGCCAAATTTCAAATTTGTAGGCTTTATGGTTCTGGAGATTTTGTGATGATGCGTGAGTGGAATTTTGCTTTTTTGTATATAGATTAGGAATAAGTGCTATTTATCTAATTTATATAACTGTCCAAATAAGTGACTGGGAAGTTGACCTATTGACCTTCCCTGTAAACCAGGCAGGAAATTCAACTGGATGAAGTTTAATCTACATTATTTTAAGGCTGCATTAAGAGAATCTTACCAATCTGAAAATACAAACTTTCTTTCCTCTACTTTTAATTGCTTGGTCCATTAGGGAGGTCCTTTCTTAGTTCTTTTTCAAACCCTTAAATGACTATGGGTTTTGTCCCTCTTGTCTAATTTTGTTCCTAGACTGCATCTCTTCCCACCTTTTCTCAAGATCACTATGCATTCTATTACAAATATGTATATTTATTTGCTTATCTTCTACTTCTAGTCAAACAGGAATGAGTAATAATAATGCATTTTTTCCTTTTAGCAGCTCTCTTTCTAACTATTGCCAATTACTGCCAATTGACTGATCATTTAAGTTTGTATTGTAACCACCAACATTGGCTAAAATTAGCAAAGTCTGAAAAGAAAAACACTTTTTATTTATGAATAACTAGTTCTACAGCATTTGAGAAATGTTAAAAGTTAACTGGCTTTGTCAACTTAAGAGGATGTAGAAAACTCCCTACAGTAACCTCTCTTTTTACAGCTTATATGTATGGATTGTTCTCCAGCAAAAATATAACTTTCATATGTTCCAGCACAGTTCATTTATTCTATGTTTCTATCAAGAGGAGAATATAAATTTGAACATTTGTTAAGTCCAAAACTGAAAAGGGCATTACTTGTCAAATAACATTATTTTAATTTTTAAAGGAGCATATTAATTTTTTCCAGTTTGAAGAATGTCACAGACACTATCCTCAAAGTTCAGAAATTAGAATTGTCCACACCTAATTCCTGTGTCACTTTGAGATATCAGAATGCATTTATTTATTTATTTAAAAATAATTATATATTAACTTGGAAAATATAACAACAACTTATTTCTTAAAGGAAAAATATTAGATTTACCTTGGATAGGAAGAATTGCAGTCATTAAATTGAATAGGCTACCTTTAAAAAGCTTTTTCTTCTTCATATAATTCCAATCTTTTCTGAAAGTAAAGTATTCAGTGACATGTACAGATAAATAATGTTTAAGGCCAAATAAAAAAGCAATAATTCAATTCCAGTCTTTGTAGGAATTAAGAGAATGAAGTAGCCTAGTATCCCCAAACTTCAAATTATAATTTTGTCAATTATTTAACATGGATTTTAGAATGGATTATATTTCCTTATGGCTTCATCTCTTTCCTAGAAGAAACAGATCTCACAGAGGAGTTGAATGGATATATATTCTGTGTTCATAGGTCTCCTATACAGGTTGTCTTCAACTTATCACAATTGAAACCAAAATTTCCATTGCTAAGTAAGATACTTGTTAAGTGAGTTTTGCTCAATTTTATGACTTTTCTTACCTTACTTGTTAAGTGAATCATTGCAGTTGCTAAGTTAGTAACTCAATTGTTAAGTGAATCTGGTTTCCCCATTGACCTTGCCTGTCAGAAGGTAGTAAAAAGTGATCACATGACCATGGGACAGTGCAGCCATCATAAATACATGCCAACTGACAAGTGCCCAAATTTTGACAATGTGACCATAGGGATACTGTCATGGTCATAAGTGTTAAAAACAGTCATTGGTCACTTTTTCTGTGCCATTGTAACTTCAAACCACCACTAAATAAATGATTAGTGGACTACCTGTAGAAAGTACAACTCTACTTATCCCCATTGCTGATTCAACTCTGTCCATTGCTACAATTCCTGAATAAGTCTATTTCACACTGTTCATTTTAAGTCTCAGTTGTGAGACTTAAAATTGTTAGAATATCTTCTTTTCCAAAGTTCAGAGTTTTCATCTCTAGAAATATTTTTGTAACATACCAAAGATGGTGACCAGGGTGACAATTGCTTGAAGTAGTTCTGGCAGTTGTGTTAGGAAGCATTAACTGTGGTGCTGCTGATGAGCACAGATTTTTTTTTATTTTTTTATTTTTAGCAGAAAGTAAAATGTCAATTTTCCCACAAAAAGTGCACATTGAATTTGTTATTCTGTTGCATTAACTGTAGGGTATGAAATCTTAACTAATTTCTTCCATGATTTTTTTTTTCTGCCAATTGACTTCCCATCTGCCCTCCAAGAGCCTCTCTACATCTTCTTCCAACGACCCCATAATCCCTTGCAGGGTGGAGTCTAGGCAACTGAATGGAGCTAGCAGTGTTTACTGGCCAGATGCCCTTCCTGTCACCAATGCAGAGTTTTTTTCAGCAGATATAGACAGAAATATCTTCCTCTACCTAGGATTGAACTCTCAGCCTCTTGATTGTGAGGCAAGAGCTTCACCTCTAGACCACTGCACCACTCCTTCCAAGATACCCTCTATAACAGTTGCATATTCA